AAAAATATGTTATTAGTTGTAAGATAAGGCATTGTAATGCAATACAAAAATATAAATGAATTAACTGCTCCAAAATCAAACACATTTTCCGCCTTGATATTGGACCTGAAATATCAAAAACTGAATTATCATTCTTACCTTTTCCCGTAGGATGTATACCAAAACTCTATCTTTTAATGATTTTAATAAAATTAATTTAAAGTAATAAACATAAATTAAGTTCAATAAAAGCAATGAAAACATACTTTACTGAGAAGTTGAATTCTGTCATGGGATGACTTAATATTGATAACTGTTTCTAAAATTAATAGTGAATTTCACACATTTTTGACTTGATTAAAATCATTTAGTTTTATCACTCAATATAATTTAGATTAATCTGTTAAAAAATGATACAAATGAACACCAGACAGGTATCTATAATTATGGAATTATGATAATCCTAAAATTGATGATTCAATTCTTATTTATCTCTTCAATTCTATTTATCAAAGAAAGGAAGGAAGTAGAGTTCAGTCAAGTTCACACATTCTGTAGAACTTAACTGACCTGTATCTTCCTAAAAAGTAAAAGCCAAAACCTGAAGACCTTGGCAATGAAAGGGTCTCCTCTTATGTATTTATCTTCACAACTGTTAGAAATTAAATCCTCTCTTCAGATAAATTTAACTTCTCTTATTAATTTTGTTAACACTATACGGGAATCATCTTTTTGATGGACGATTTTTCATTTTTATGTTTATTAAAGAAAGAGAATTAACTACAACTAAAATGAAAGTTGAATTTAATTAGGAATCAAATAGGAATAAATGAATAAATCCATTTATAAATTATTCGGATATGAACAGTTTTCTTAAGCAGATATTAATTAATATATTAAATATCAGGAAGTTTTAATTTTATTTTGATAATGCATTAACAGAAAATGTAAATATTATTAATTGTAATTGTATGTACTATGGAAAGTAAATTCAAATACAATATACTTCTTTTATTTTCTTTTTAAAGTATTATGAGTTTCATAGATTAATGTATATATTCTAATTTATTTTTCCATAATTAGAATACTTGAGCAAATAAATCTGGTATTCAGAGTATCAGAGTCAGTAATGTACTAAAAGCATGATTTAATGTATTTTTTATTTTAAGGAAACATAAATATGAATTTTAATATTTTTTCGATGTTATTTAATTGTAACAAAAGCTAAATTCCAAAATGAAAATGTAAAGGCATAACATTTTTAATTCTCTTTACTTATTGATAAAATGAGGAATTGTTATTTAGAATTAAATGTCTCAGATAGTGTTTCAATAAAAAAATAAAGAAAGTGTATATATAAAATACCTTTATTCAACACCATTAATATAAGATGATGTAACACTTCATCTATACAATTAATTGTCACATGTAATACAACATTTAAATAAATGTTTAAACATATATAAGTATATATGTGAGAGTATACAGATCTCTATTCCAAGCACCAAGCGATGTTATTTGGAACCAAATGTAAAAATTAAACATACAAAACGCTATTACATCAATAAATACTGAATAAGTAAATACTTGAAAAATATGCCAAATTTCATTTTTGATCACCCAAAAACATGAAGTTTTGAACCAAAGCCAATCTATCACTTACAGTTTTGAAAATATCTTATTTTTTCCGGCATTGTTAAAGATCTTATGAATAAGACTACAATCATTGTTTTTGTTTCTTAATTTATTCAATGACTAGTGGCCCAACTTTACTCTTATAGTTATGTATTTATTATCAAATCACAGATTTGTATAATAATTTAATACATTTTTATGTTTATTGTTTATTAAAATGACACCCGTTGAACATTTGGGTCAAAAATTTTTCTATCAGAGCTAGGGATAGCAAGGGCATTAAAAAACCTATGATGTATCAATATAAAAGTTATTCTTCCTCTATAAGGCCACTATGCTAAACTTGCAAAAACAGTCAACAACCATTTCAAACTCAACACTTGGATAATGAGCCTCTAGAAATTTGTGATAGTTACAACAACCAGACTATCAAAGAGCTTTTCAGGTAAAATTACAATCATTAAATAGAAAAAATGTTAATAAAAAGCTCTTCAATAGTACCAACCTTCAAAATAATATATACACTTGTATAAATATAACATCTTAATGTAATATGTACAGCATACACTTAATAAATGAACTATGGGCCAATATCGCCCATGCTATATACAAAGTTCACAACCAAGTTTGAAATTGGGTACCTTCTCCTCAGGACCCTGGGAAAACTGCTAAACATTGGTCAACTTAAAAGCAGTCACAAATGGCAAAAGACCATTTCCAATGTTCAGCATTAAACAAATTATTAAGTACATTGTCACACTTAACTAATGCTTTTAGATACTGAAATGAGAGAGAATACAGAAATGAATTTAATTTCATCCTAAGAATATTGTTGTATAAAGTGCTTTTAAAATTTAATATAACAAAGGAAGACATTTATTTTGATTTTTTCCAAGGGATTATTCATTATAGATATAATATTATGATAAACCTGGCAAAAAATGAATGTTAACTTACAACTAGTATTTTAAATCAAATGTTCAATGGCTAATAAAACTTTTTAATTTATCTCAAATTGTTATAATCAAATAAGATAGAAAAAAATAATATTTATTTAATCAGAGCTCATAAAGAGTTTAAGGGGATAACCACTGACCAAACTGTCCGATTCACGACCTTAGTGTTCTTGAACCACTTTGGTCAACACTGTGCCATCACATCTTGATTTATCGAGTGAATTTTATTGTAAATGTTTAGTAAGTGAAAAATATAAAAATAAAAATGTAGCAGTGACTTCTAAATTATTCAAATATTTTCTAAATAAGTGCAACCGATGAAATAAAAACATAAATTAACTCTTCATTGTAAATAAAATATGAATACTTATGATAGTTAAATTGTCCATTCAATGTTTAGAAAGCAGTCTTGGATCAACTTCATGATTCAAGCCTCATTTCATTTTTCAGTATTTTTAGTAAATCAAAAATTAACCTAAGCTTTTTTATCTCAACTACTTTCATGGATTCTGTAAGCCTCTTTATACTCTCTCTCAGTCCTTGTACCTCAAAAGCCTACTGTAGCATGTAACTTAATATTACAATTTTAATATAATACAAAAGCTTAGTTAAATTAATACAACCACAAGAGTTCACTATATAATACATTTACAGATAAAAAATAATGACATATAAGAGGAATATACACGATGCACCTTTCCTTTATATGTACAGCAATAAATATCTTGTATCTATGTTGTTGTATTAATATAAACATTTCTATATACTTATATAAATTAGTATTACTACACAACAAATATAAAATCATTGTATATTTATGGTTTACTAATCAAACCAACTCTTCATTTCAAAGAAAAACATTCACCACTTCCTTCTTACAAGGTATGGTCTAATTGAATAGAATTAGGATTAATATTTTAAAAAATTAATATTTAATTAACAATTAAAAATTGACTTTTGTATCCAATATAATTTTAATATCAATAATAGTCATTAAATATGATTGACCAATTGACACAAGATCAGTACACAAAACCAGTATTGAAATATAATTACGATATGTTGCTTCATAATTCACAAGTATGATAATGATAATGGTTGTATTAAATACAGTCATTCGATTATTTGGCACAAGTGAGTGAATAAAATAGCTTTCTTACAATCACTCAACCATAAGAAATAATAAAACAAAAACTAGCAAAAATATTACAATGAGAAATTGAATGGATTTTAACCATAACAGATTTTATCCATTCAATTTTTAATTACTAATGAAATAATTTGAAGAGTATATGTATAATAAAAATCAGATTATTTGGAAAGAAAAAGGCCATGGACAACTCAGGTATGAATTCATGCAACACTTAAAGCACATTATTAAGTATATGGAAATCTTTGAAGCAAATTGGTTAATGGCTGGACAGTCAAGATTTTACACTTTATCTTTATATGAAATTAAAGAAAAGTAATGGACCCCGTTAATGTTTTATCATTATTTATAGAAAGAATAAGAGTTTCTACACTGAACTAGCTGGATTTTTGAATATTTAAAATCAAGAATTTCTATGTATTATTTGTAAATATTACAGAGCATAATCTTATTCTCTTATCTGTGGTACCTACGGAGAGCTTTTACTGCTAAATTTGATTGAAAAATCTAGAAAATTTATAAACTAGCCATATTATAAACAGGCTTCTCCTGAATTTGAAACATTAAAAATTAATTAAATGATTCCTTATGACATTTTTTATTAGTGTATTATTTTTGTCACTATAAAAATTAATATTATTAAAGAACACTGATTTATTATTCTTAAATAAACAAATCATCAGTTTTAACTAAAATAAATAAGACAGAAGAGCAAATAGACCTACACCAAGAAATTTTACTGAGACACAATACAATAGCGTAAATCCATTATCAAAAAAGGAATCAGAGATACTTTCCAACTTACCAACATCTATTTTTTTTCAAACCATATGCAGCTCCTATATTGTGAATTCAAATATTTTTGACATATCTCCAAGTATATTTTGAGCATTAATTTTTACATTAGTTTCTCAATGCATTTTAATTGAATGATTTATAGTTTATTGAACATGAATATGAATGTGGCTTTAAAATTAAGCAATTATTGAATTTTGGAACATTGGAAAAAAGGTTAAGATATAATATTTTATAGAATTATGCTTTAATAAAATAAAATATTGGTAATAATTTTATATCATTAAATAATTTTGAACATTCAGTGTACTGCTGTATGACAATTGGTGTGTTTAATCAAGTTACACTAACTGAATCTCTTGGGTTTTATAAATATATTTAATATACAAACTACAACAACAATGAAAAATATAATAACAATATTAACAGGTCTAAAAATATAAATTCTCTTTTAATATCATTTATATAAAAATGCATCTTAATGAAGGCAAAGGGCATATATATAACTATACATGTTTTTTTTGTAACCCTGATAAATAAGAAACAAATTAAATTATCATATTTACAATAAGAATTAAATTAAATATAATTTAACTGCATCCTGTAATACAAAATTTTAATGCTTACTCATATAAATATAAAATATATTTATATACAAGAACCCTGATAAAATAATAAGAATGAAATATATTTTCGGCTTATACAAGTTGATTGACACCTGAAATGCAGAAAAAATTATTGTTATGGATTAGGTACACTATGATATTGACAGCCACCCTGCAAAAGCCTGTAAGGACAATTTCTATGGAAAATGAGGTTTTGAACTTTTGGGTCAATCTTGTCCTGGCACATATTCTCATTCCACAAAATGAGATCTAATATGTTTCATTTGTTCTCTATGGCCTTTTGTAAGAACCTGTAATTTAAGAACCAGCAAATGGTGATGTAAAAAACTGTAAGTTACAGTGAAGTTTATAGAGATTCTGTCATTACAAAAAAAAATGTAATGAAATGCTCAATGAAAGATGGTCGTATAAATACAGAATGTATAAAGCGTTTTGTGCATAGAGTACAATAACAATTAACTTCATTAATAGGCTAAAATTAATTTTACCCTTTATATTCTTTCTTTAAATTTCTAATAACTGGTCGGCACTTCTAGCCCGGCACCTTGGGCAAATCCTCCGGTTCTTCTGCCATGAGACCAGCACTGCTTATCATGGAACTAGAAGGAGCAAAGAAGAGAGGGATAAGTGGGAATATAGTATTAAACGGACTTCAAAATAATCGAAACCTCCTGGACACTACATAATGAGCTTAACTGGAAAAAGCTGCAATGCTGCCAAATCCCGGACAGTGAGAGATAGAGAATTGATTTCATTAATCAGAAAATTTAACACAAGACAAAAAAATAACTCTAGTTTCATCTTTTCAAACCAACGAATCTTGAAAATCGCAAGAAGCTCAGAAACAAAGTGATTTACACATCAGCAGATTACTTAGAACTTACCAAGCATTCGTGAATCAAACTACGTCCATATGAAGTTGAGTAAGTTAAAAACAAATCTTTCATAGACTACTGCAAAATGTGCCCCATGTATTCCATTTCGCCATCCCTACAGCAGGAGACAAAAAATTGAATAACCCATGTGATCAAATATATCGCTTTCCAGTCAAATTTCTTACAAATTTCCATTTGAAGTATCTCTACATTTTGGAAACTAACTTTATTCCTGTCATGCTTTGATCATTAGTAACAAAGTTATTGGTGTTACTATAATAAATTTTATTGCTTTTGCCTAACTAATACTTGTTTTTCAAAGTAACTTAAAAGCTATAAGTTAGAAGTAATGGCTTTAAAAGATTATTCGGCAGAAATATGATAAAAAAAAGTTACATGGAGCATTACATCTTTATCTTAGGCCTGCAAGAAAATTTAACTGAAAATATATATAAATAGAACAAAAATTACTCAGTTTTTTTCGTCTCCTGAAAATTTTTAGTTTTTGTTCTTACAGGCTTTTGTGGCTGTCGATATGATTATTAAAGATAATTAAATTACCAGTTATATGCAAATTTGAATTTATATGTATGGGCATTAATCGATAATATTAGAGTATATGTTTTTTAAATATAGAAAATAAGTTTTTATTCAATATTCAAATTGTTTATTCTCTCATAAAACCAATAATAGTAATATTTTAAAAACTTTTTTTCATCAAATACTAATTATTAATCATCATTTTGTAATAATTTGAAATATTTTTTTATTTACTGAAAATTATGAATTACAAATATTAAGTAAAAAAGAGAAGGTAAACTATTACAAGTGAAGAGACAAATAGGCAACACTTTGTTAGAAATTATTATGACTTCTCTTAGAGACTAACAATGTTTTTTTTACAAATCAATTGCTAAAAGCACAATCATTGTATCTTCAAACACAGCATCTGTTTTTTGTTTTTTTTATAAAAGCTTTAGAAGTTTGAAAGCTGCAAGTTCCTGCAGAAGTTATAATGTGAAAATTTTATCACATTTCTCGCAGCAAATTTGAAGCATCGGACAATTAAGAGATCATCTCTCTGCCTTAAACCTTACGATAAAAATATGTAATATATTCCATTACTTTGTTAACATAGGTTATGCAAAAAACTAATAAATAAACATATATATATACATTTATTTTTATATATAGTATTATATTGTTCATTAAATAATAATTATTTTAATTATCACTCATAATTTTTATACATTAATATAAATATGAACTTCTGAGACTTTTTTGTCTAAGTAAATAAATATACATTTTTGGAGTCATCCTTTCCTACTCCTCTCCCACCATAACTCAACTATCCCCCAGTGAACCAAACATTTTATGTAAACTCTCAGCCTCAACTTAAATTTGTTAGTTTATCCATATTTAATATGGTCATCAATTTCAAACATAACTACTCATTTCATTTTACTTTGTAAGGTAACCAAAAAAAAAAAAAAAAAACTGTAAAACAACTTAGTTGTGGCCTATGTATTTTTATTCATCGTGATAGTTGAAAATTAAATTCTGATTTTAAATATATTTTGGTGAAGATAAAAATCATCATAAAAAAATTGTATCAGATAACAATAAAATTAATTAAAATTTCTTCTGAAAATACATTTGGGCTTCTAGATTTAATAGATATTCGTATCAACTATTGCATACCTATTATAACCAAACTTCACTTTTTTTCTCACCCTGTCAGACATGATCTCTACTCTCACTCCCAGAATTTTGAGGTTCCCTTGGAGTTCGCGGACTCTGCAGATGCATTCCTGCTCCCACTTGACAAACAGAAATATAAAACAAATTTTTAAATTACATATATAATTTAAATACCCAGAATCATTTGATTTTGTTTTTCACTGTAAATATGTATTTTCTTGACACTTATAATTTATGGGACGACAGTAGTTTTTTAGTATCATATTTATGATTTCTGGAAGAAATATTTTTTTGATTGAATATATTAACAACATAATTAACTGAGATGGTCATTAGCGAGTTTAAAGATCAATCAATCACTATAACATAGGCAATGTAGGATGGAGATTGTGAACAAACGAGCCAGAGAAGTGTTATCAACTACAAAATAACTGTTTATTTATTTTTTTTTTATCAATAAAAAAAGATTCGTTGTTGAGAGACAAGCTTACAACAATGAAATTCTAAAATAAATCTAATGTGGCTGTTCAGAAGCAGTTTCAAATTGTATAATGAATCCAGAAGATCCCAGTGCACTGTAGTACCAAATTCAAAATGGGGAGAGATAGTACCAATAGTTGGTTGGTTGAATGGAGTAGGACATAACAAGATGGATACAGATAACAATTTAAGAAGATATATAAGTTTCCCATAGGAAGGTGGAATTTAACTAGACAGGAGTGTTTGCTTACATTAGGAATAATGATTAAGAAAATAAGAAAAGAGAAAAAATAAATTGTTAAATACAATTTATTTATACATAAATAGTTTCTTTATTTATTGTTATAATTAAATTTTGGAACCTTACCTATGCCACTGAAATATCCTCCTGGTTTAGGTTTCACATGTCTGTTATTTACCTCCATACTTACAATCTTCATGAACTCAATTTGACCAGCCAATTTCTGAATTTCTTCCTAAAAAAAATAAATAGAATAGTGAACGAACTTTATTCTTAAAAATAAATTAAATGTAAAAATAAACAGAAAATATAACCAGTCAAAAATTACATTATTAAAATTTCATTATTATGCATATAACAGCAATAAACATATAAAAATAATAAAAAGTAAAATTATATATATATATATATATATATATATATATATATATATATATATATATATATATATATATATATATAATTAAAATTTCATGACTAGAGAGCATCTGTTTCGAATATGGGAAGGTAATCAAAAAGGAGAGATTTAAATGAGTATAGAAAAGAAGCTTGGAGGGAGGGGGGGAGTATTACATGGAAAGAGAATTTCAGAAGGAAATGGAGCAAGCACGAAAGGAATGTTTGAAGATTTTAGTGTTATGGGTATAGAGGTCAAAAACACAGGATCTTGTTCTCTGTAACTGAACCAAAGGTTTGAACAGTAGAAGACTGAAGATATAGGAAGGATTCTGAGAGTGACAGTTAGCCATAAGAAAGATTCAGAAATATTGTGGATGGGAGTGGGGGAAGAGACACTTTAACTCACCATAAATGTGGAATGTAATTAAATAAAAAGGAGTATTTTTAAATGATTGCAGATTGTAGGGAGAAGTTAGATCAAAAAATGGATTGGAGAGTTGATTTTTAAAATATTATTACCTTTAATTCCTCATTTTCTTGATACAGATCAGTGGTTTCATCAGCAACCAAACCAATTCCATTCAATGAGAAGGAAGCAGTTACGGCTCTAGCTCTGGCTCTCTTGTCCCACTGATCTCCTTGGCCACGAATCACCCGTAAAACCTAAAAGCCCATACCAATGTTTGAAAACATTCATTTAGTGGAAATTTCAATTGTAGTGAATATTTTTTATATTGATTGCATTATATGAGAAGAGAAAGTACACGACTTAATTAACTCATTAAAATAAATAAACTATTTATAAAAATAAATAATTAAAGCAAATCAAGTATTTTGAGATAATTTTTTTTTTACAAATTTCTAACAATAACAAGATTTCAGATGTATTTTGAGTGATATTCAATGAAACTCAGTAATGGAACTGCAACAAAAGCTTTTGCTCGAATCTAATCCTACCGATATTAATTCTTATTCCAAAGATAAGTTGTTGCAAATATCATTAGGTTGTTTTAACTCTTATAGTTTTGGAGAAAGAATATTTATAAGAAATGAATAAGTTTTTTTAAAAGTAATCATAATTCTCCTTATTTTTTTAATTAATCAATTAGACTATAAACTTAATACAGAAACTCCAGAGTAATATATATAACTTACTTTTGGACCGAAAACTAATGCCACTGTAACTGATGTGCTAAGTTGTGTTCTTATAAAACCTAACAGATACTTTATGTCGGGACCAGCTCGTGGAAAGAGAAATAGGCTGAAAAATACAATTATATAAATTGACAACAGCTGTAATTACTTTCTTAATTATAATTAGGATTCTATCATTCACAGTTTAAACACCCTGGTTAACACTTTAGAGGCCATTCACTCACACAGCATGTATTTGATGCTACCGCCAAGAATTTTTGGTTATTGAGAATTATTGATAAAATTTGTTTAAATCAATTCTTTAAAAATATTACCGGCTCCTGCTCAGATGTATGGTCATTTAAGTGTTAACATAATAATAACCAATCCTTTTTTTATTCTTGAACATATTTGTTAAAAATATGTTACAGAGAATAAAAGTTGGGATTTAGAGGCTTTAAATCTAAAAAAAGAAAAAATAACTAATATCTACTAAAATTAATACAATCATATAAAAAAATCTATCAGCACTTCGATTAAATGATACTGACCAAGTAATTTTTACTAATATTGTTTATGCTTTATCACTATTTTCATAAATAATCATATCAGATAAAGTAGATAAATAAATTACTTTTTTAAAAAAAACACAACAAAATGTTCTTAAATAGACAAGAAAAATGAATCATAAATAAATTTAATCTAATAAAAGCAGATATAAAAAAAAAAAATAAAAAAAAAAAAAAAAAAAAAAAAAAAAAATAAAAAAAAAAAAAAAAAAAATTAAGAAATTGGTTGGGAGGTATGGTCAAAAGTTACTCACATAATATGTGGAAATAATATTTATTGGTTACCTATGTTTCTACCAAAATTGTAGGTTTTCATCAGGGTTTATAATTTAATAATAATTCTCACATATTATATATTTGATTTTTTGATCAAACTCCCTTCCCACCAACGTTTTCATAAATCAGAGCTACAGTCTATAATCTCCATAACTTTAACAAAATAAATAAATAAAAAGAAGTATATACATAATATCACAGTAAAATACATGCAGTCTACAGTATTTTTTAAATTCTTCAACTTACTGAAAAGCAACCATCATTATGTTTACTAGGGCAATGTTGTATATTGCATAACTTATCAAACGTGCTTCATTAAAGAGCGATTCCGCATTACGCACATTGTAGCATACTCTTACACCCCATGCAAGAAAAAAAACCTCACCTAGACAAATATTTAACACATATATTTTGTAGAAGAGACTATCAAGATAAAAAATAGTATGTTATAATAAATGGATATATGCAAATTAACCTAAATATTTTTAAATTTAAATTAAGGTACGTAAATGGAAAAATGGAAAATTTGATTATAGAAACAATTGTTATGAAATATAATAAGGCTGTGAAGTTTTTGTTTTTTAAAAAGGTATTTATTCTTGAAAATCGCAAAAAGGGTTGAAACGACAATGAATGAAAATATAAAGTATAGAAATGGATCATTTGTTGTTTTAATATTAGATATAAGAATCAAGAGCTAACTTATATTAAAATATAAATGTAAACAACTATTTCAAATAAAAAATGATGAAAAATATTTTTAAAATATATTTATTAAATTAGTCTCTATTGCTCACAGTGCTAATAAATAGAAAAATAGTTTCTATATACAAAAAAAGTTTGCTGAAAATAAACAAAAACCTAAGAAATACTTTACAGAAAACTCTGTGAATTTTGAAGTTTCCTAGCGAATAATTTTTTTTTAGACGTTTTTCTGATTTAGCTATAAAAACCAGGCCTGACTTGGTCGACCCAAGCTTTTTGATTTTCCTTCTAATTTTTTAAAAATAACACATTACTTATTTTATATAAAAATACCCTCAGGCCAGTTTCTAACAGTGGAACTTTTGATAGAAGCATGTTGCTCCAATTCTTAGAGATATAGAAATGAGTGGTTTTCTAAAAAGTGTATGCTCATTTATTAAAATAAATTAGTAAATTTCTGATTATATAAAAATAAATATCTAGATTACTGACAAATCAATAAACAAAAATGCATAAATTACCGATTGCAATACTGTGATCCCACCAGTTATAAGTACACTGCTTAAATAAAAGACCGGAGTTATCTTTGATGTCCTCTCCAATTGGTGGGGCAGAGAGAGTCCAAGTACTGAGATAGATTAACATTACTAAAAGTATAGGAAACATCCACTGCAGTAATTGCTTGTCAGTTAATTTCACTTTGTGAGCTGACTTCACTCTGTAGGTCAACGATACCCTAGAAAAATTTATGTTTTAATACATTATCAAAATTATTCATCACACTTCACCAATTTTCAGCGGTTAAGATTGTAAAGAACACTATTATTTATAGTACATTTTTCATTCAGAAGTTCATTGATGAATGATAGATGTTTTCCAAGAAAAAATACTTCAGTTCGATAAAGAAATGGGGTTAAAATGTTTTTCCATTGAAAAATCATTTTACTTTTAACTGATTATAAATAAAATCATATTTAAAAATGAACCTTCCAAACAGAACATCTTTATTGTACACTGGATATATCAGGTTGTCATTGGAAAGATTCCAAACCACACAGCCTTATGCCTCCAAAATGTTGACAAGCAAAGAAAAACCTGTTAACGTTTTGCCAATTTAGGCATCATCAGGACAGAAAAGAACAGCTAATCGAACATCACTCCAGTCAGTAACACCCTCTATCTTGATTATTTTGTTACTAATTTATAACAATGTATATATTTTATTTATTTCACTTCAGTCACTTTTCTTATTCATAACATTTCCTTTTTGATAATTTCTGTTAGTGTATTTCCAAATTAAAAAATAGACATTGGTTTTTATCTCAAATATAGTTATTGGAAAGTAATATCACAAAATGATTACATTGACTTTTACTTCAGGTGATATCCCACCAATTTCATGGGCACTTAAAATTGTGTATAGCCTCACTTTTATTTTATACAAAACATAAAACGGCTGTATAGAAAACCTTCATTCTGAGCTCTACAATTAATTATTGGATCTTGGCTGCCTGAAAAATCGCCTTCCACTTGGTATACAGAAAATAAGTAAGCTTTTTCTCTTTTCTTACATATACAACATTTTTCTTAGATGTAAAGGTATATTTAATTTTTTATAGATATTTTAAAATGATTGGAAATTACAAAATTTAAAACTTTACTTAAATTAATTTTTTATCAAATAACTTTATGAAACAAAAACAGTAAACTTTAAGGTTGTCTAATTAAATTGTATTAACGTTAATGTTTTGTATCTTTAAATTTTAAGTAATTTCTTATTTTAAATTCCATTTTGTAATTTTGTAATTTTAAATATTGTATATGGGTTAAATGAACCTAGTGTTTAAATAGCATAAATGGTTGTGGATATAAATAAAATCTCTATTTAATTATACATGTATAAATTTAACATAATACTCTACAAATAAAGATTGGTACCTCCAAGTCTTCATAAGAAGTGCTGTATAGGTAATACAGAAACCAAAGTGCCTCGTCCATTTTGTAAGTATACATGTATACATGTCAAGAACTGGAAATATAGCTGCCATCTGTTAAAAAAAAATCCTAATAAGTATCTAATTTTACTAAAATTAACACTATAACCAAACATGTTTTGTTTTCATAGAATTCTTAGATATATAATTCAACTTACCTCGGAATACATAATGACACATCCAGTGAGTGTTATGCATAAGAAGATCGGTGAAGCTACTTTGAATACCTTCAATCTTCTGTTATGATAAACATAGCCAATAAGGCATAGAGTGAGGAAGATGCATGACGAAGATATCGACAGAAGTCCAATCCTATAGATAAATTAATTTTTATAATAAATTAAAAATAATTATAAGCACACAATGGTGAAATTAAATTTTAAAAATGAAATTTTATTGTACTCTTAACTATTTAATTTTTAAGATTTGAAGTAACTTCATGGATGTGACATGATTTTAAATAGTGTTTTGGAGCTGTATTTCTTACCTTTCCAAAAAAAATCCTTAAAAGGAGGAGATTTACATTTGAATCTTTACATGCTCTATAATCTTTGGATTAACATACAGTACTATTAAAATGTGTAATAAGATTATAGAACAAGACTTGTAGGTTGAGGGTGTAGCTACTCAGAGATTAATTATGGTAAATGTAAATTTATTTATTTTGATGGAGTATTGAACAACATTGTACCTTTCTACATGATACAATGACCTTCAATTCGGGTCTCAATAGTGTCTAAATAAACTAAATAGCAAGATGAAACTTATATTTTTTTTTACCATGATAGACACTCACAATACTTTTCATTAAAAAAAAAAACTTTTTGGGCTAGAGAAATGAAAAAAAGATCATAAACTGAATTTTATGAATATTGATCAATCAATTATTTAAACTCTTGCTTAATGAATTCATAACATCATTCAACTATTCATATCAAATCTATGTATATCATCATGTCTGGAAAATAACATCCACATGCAAATATGTAATAACAAACTAAGTACAATAGGAAAAAAAATGATGCAGTATGAGACTGATGTATAAAAAAGTAACATTCAGACAAATAAAAAAAAAAAAATTAAAAATGTTCAACGTATTTATATTTGACTTCAATTTACATTGTATACTTTGCAATGGTGTTAGAAAAACTTCATTGGGAATTAATTTTCTAGTAGAGTAGTTTAAAATTTTGTTATTGTAATTATTACTAAAGTATATAATTATAATTATTTTTTATTACTGTTGTTATTATTTGAACAACAGCTTACTGAGTATTATATAAGATACTTTTATTTGTTTATTTAAAAACAGAAAACAATATTCAAGTTTTAAATTACTTTCATTCATTAATGTTAGGATGATAAAAATGTAAGGAAATCAAGACTCTGATCAAATGGTGGCTGGTATGATAACTGATAGAGAGGCTTCTTAATGATTAAAAATAATTTATTATTGCCGTTAAAAGATAAAAAGTAACCAGAAATGATTGTCATTGAGCATTTAAAGTAAAGGATTAATTAATTAATTAATTAATAATTAAGACAACAGTAATACTCACCATAAATTTTATTGAATACTGCATTTCAACCAAAGATACCATCTTAACAAATAAAAAAATGAAGGACATCTGCAGCTACTTATGCATATAACATGTATTTAATTAGTAACTGAATCTTAAATAGATTTATAATTGAAAGAATAGTAGAGGTGAATATATGTTACTGAATGATAATTTAATTGACTTAATTATAAGAAAAATTTTAGGTTGTGCCTGAAGATGACATGTTTAGCCAAAAGGTTGGATTAAATAAAATTCGTGGTGATGTCAACTGGAGTCTTAATTTATTTATTAACAGGCAAAAATTCTTATGAATTTTTACAATAAATTTTTAGTGATTTCTTCGTATGATAAATACAATATGGAGCTTTTTGGAGCTTTTATAATAATGCTTATCATAACTTGGGCTATGCTCCTGCTGGAAGGATCCCATTTGATACAAATAAAGATTTATATAAATTTCCTTCATTTAATCTGAAGTAATTTTAAATTAAATAAATAGAAAATGTACACTTCAACCAATACATTTCATTGATAACTGATTTAATAACTTTTAGACCTGCAAAATCGACTCAGGATCATATTTCCCCTCTGAACAATTCTTGAAAAAGGTTGGAATCATAGCAAAGCGGTCTATATAATATTTCTTGATTTGAACACAGCTTCTAATTTTTTCTGAGATGAGATGCTCTGATTAGAAGGGTGCTAGCAAACCTGGTGATTAGTATTAAATCCATTTACCAAGATACAAAGCGAATTGCAGGACTCAAGGGTAAAAAAATACAACTTTTCCACTTTTAACAAGGAGTAAAGGAGGGAGACAGTCTTAGTCTTCTGCATTTTATTTTTCTAATAGATGAGATATGGCATAAAAGGAGAACACTATATCAAATTCATGTGTTTTGGAAGGGATAATGAGGAGCCTAGGATTTTATGTGAGAACCCTAAGAATTAGCAAATGGAAATGTATGGGCCTGTATGGATCGAAAGTCTTGATAACCATTGATAAGAATGTAAGTCAGATCACAGTAGTTTATGTGAGATTCCTCCGAGGAATAGTGAGAAGACCATGAGTGATATCCTGAAATGGTAGCATTTAAAATTGTATGGGCATTTCTGCAGAAGGAACATTATCTGAAGGACCAAGTCATACTTGAAAGTCAGACATTCTCTTGACAAACCTAGATGTTTGTATTTTGACGATCTTGGAAAACTGGGTGAAGCAAGAGGATACACCATTCCAGATATTAAAGAATAGTCAGGGAAAGAGGCCAGTGGGCTATGTGGACTGAAACTGCAACTTTATACTTAATGCCACATCAGAATGTAAGGAAGAAGAAGAACAAAACTTAATAGTTATAATATTTACAATTCCAATTACAACAATTTATTTAATAAGGCCCCTCATATTTCATCATTTGGCAAAAAAAAAAAAAATATAGCATTCCCTAAAAAAAGCCTTTGAAATAAACCCTTATTTGTTAAGTAATGTGAGTAAGATGTTTTTAGTAATCTAGGCGTTGATGACCTGAGGGTTTTATGCCTATAAACAGCAACTAACAAGTTTTTAGTAAAATAATTAAGAAGAGCATTTGTCTGCTGACTTATAAATTAGATAATCAAGAAAGCATAAATAAATCAAAAATATATATTGACAAAAATAATATTCTATTATTTATTAATTTAGTAAAAATGTATATGTTAATCCCTTTGTAAAGAATATTGTCCCCCATTTCAATGATTAAAATTATTTTTATCTTTTTCTACAACAAAACAAAAGATAATAGATTAATGCTCTCCATCAGTTTTTATGTTTGTTTGAACATTTTTAAAAGTCATCGGGTTTCCAATGAGGATACCAATTGACCAATTGAAGTTCTCTAGCCTTTTAGGTTTTCTAGAGTTGACATTAGTTATACTATTTTCATTTCATTTGATTTTAAAATATGTCTATGAATTAAAATTATAATTGTTCTCTGAAAGATAAAACAAAGTGTTTGGTTGTAGTAAAATTACTTAAGAAAATAAAAAAATAAAAAAAATGAAAAACTCAATCTGCACACTACTTCTGCAACTCTATGTGCAACTAATAACAGACAATAACTTAGAGTGCTCAACAAGTGATGAACAGGTTGGATATTAGAGTGAAATAAGTTTGTTCATTTTTATTTGTGAAGCACTTAATCTTTTTGAACACTCTATTGATTGACAAATGATGATAGAGACCTGAAAGGCCAGTTGTAAGAGGCAAGGCAGGGAGCATGAGAATCACAAGTCTGACAGCCTGGTGCACACCTCTCACATCGGAATGTTTCATATGTGGAACTCCCATTTGAAAGGGCATCCAACCAAGCAGCTGGAAAGAAGTTCTCTTCAAATAACTGATTTATAATTGGAATATTCAATTTTTAAATATTGTTGATAGTCTAATAAACAAAATGAAGCCTATTAAATTATCAATTTCTTTATGAAATAGAATTTTCATTAATCCTGTATCAATTAATTTCAGTTATACTTTACAAATGATCCATAATAATTTATGGAATTTTTCATTAAATACTACAGTCCCTGACCCATTGAAGGAAATTAGTTAAACTAATGAGTGATATCTTGAAGCTAGGAGCCATTTTTTACTTCAGTTTCTTTAACAAAAAATCTGATAAAAATAAAATAAATCAAAATAGCATAAGAATTAAAAGATTGAGTTGATTTTTAAGACATTCAATGGCAGTCTTGCATATAAGTAACAATTTGTGCATTATGAGTAGAAACTGTGTAATAAAAAAAAACTTCCAACTTCACACTAGTAGAAAGAAACATTCACTAAAATACATTCTCTTCTGTGAGTTTCATAACCTCAGGTGCTAAGATAATGAAGAAAATTGTAAAATATCTATTTGAAAACAAATCAATTACCTTCAACCAAATTTCCGAGAAAAGGAACCTGCGGATGTGCCATATAATAGCCAGCTTTGCAATGGCAAACATAGCTTCCTCGGGACCATTTCCTTTCACTTTCAGAGTAAACACACTATTTATAACATAAATTGTATTAGTATCTGATAGGCTAATTAGTCATATGTTAAACTGAATATAAATGTATTTGATATAGTACTCAATCAACTGAAGTATTAACTAACGAATAGACTTAATAAAATAAGCCTTAGGAATAAATAAACTTTTATGATTTGAATAAGTACATTTTTTTCTTTAAGATTACCTTAGTAGTATTGTGGCATTTATGAGAGCCCCTAAAGACATTAAGCATGTTATCCTTTGATGAATGTGGTTCGCTAGGGTCACATTGGTTTATTCCTAATCTTGTTATGTCAACATCTACACTAACATACCCAGAGTTGCTAAAAAATAGATAAATATTAATTATTATTAAGTGAATAAACAAATAAAAAAACAGAAATGGGTAACCTATAAATATTTGATAGGCGATGTTAGACCTTCAATAGCAACAAGATAGTTCAAGGGGTCCAATGCCATGCAGAAAAGGAAGATATTTTAATTTTGTGCTTTTAGCATGAGCCCTGTTTTTTAGTCATTAGGAGATGATAACCAGAAAAATAGTTAATTTGAGTAATTAACGATTGAAAGGTCATATATTTTAAATAATATTTTCTTCAGTCAAATAAAATTTGTCTTTGTCAGAAACATTTTTTCAAGAGGGCTTTTAGGCAGTTAAGCTGATGTTATTTTTATAAAATCATGAATATTTTTTGCAATATTGTTTCAGTCTCATATTGGGCAACAGATTGCCCACTTTTCCTTTAGAATTAGAAAAAAAAAGTCCTTTAAAAAGACTTTAAGCCTCTATGACCCTGGCCATACAGATTAGGCAGTACAGATTATGGACAGCATTAGCCAGTTTGGCTAAAGGTGTGGTTATATAATAAACCATAAAAGCAGAGAGTCCATTGTACTGAAAATATAAATATATATAACATAACAGAAAACACAATGAATGATAAAAATATACAATAATAAAAGAAGTTGGTAAGGATATCAGCTACTTACCCATGCTTGTGAGTAGGAACAGTGACACTATAAGATATGACCCATGATCTAGCCTGGCATGAATAATAGGGAAAAGTCCAGAAACCTGCAGCTGAAGGCATGGATGGTTGAAATATCCCAGTTGGTGGGTACCACGGCAGGCTTTGTGGTACTTCTATGCCCACCAGTAGCTCACCTGGTTCCCGCCATTCAGTCCCTCCTCTCTCACGTCTGTACAAAATTTTAGTCTGTTATAATCGGCCACTGGGAAGCTATATCTCCTGTTTTATTCAATTTTTTTTTCTCCAAAAATTTCAGAAAGTTGTTTTATTTTTTGAGAGGAAATAAAACTTCCTTTATGTTCTTGTTTATTCACTATAAAATATCACATTTGTTCACTGTCAGAATTAGAGGTATTAATTACCATCTTAAGAACTATCATTCTTAAAAAAATTATTACATAAAGTTTAATTATTTTATAATTATATTTTAGCAAACAATATTGAAACATTGTTACAACTAAAAATGTATTAACTTTCTCCATTATAAAGCTTACTTTGCCGAGCCCCTTCCTACCGCCGTTGTAGTGTTGGGTTAATCATTGTAAAGCAAAAATGATTTTAATAATAATTAGGTCTCTAGATCTATCAATAAATAAGTAATAAATGTTATGCTACTATGCTTGTTAACACATTCTTTGTCATATTTAATAATGGACTAGACCTATTTATTGTACTTTAGCTCTTACTTCTGGTGCATGTAACAACCATTCTTCTCTCAATATTATATATTTTCCAAATACCCTTTTTTCTGTGATACTACATAAAAAAATATTGGAAATAGGTCTGGACATTCGTTCTAATGGCCCTAGGAGCCGAGAAAAAAAAAAGTTTATTTAATTTCGAACAAAATTTATGTTAATTATTTTTGCCTTTGCTTTGCTCAGATTTTTAGATTTATACCATATCATTTGATTATTTTGATTCTTATTATTTCTTATTGATTCTTATCTTATTTAATATCTACTTTACATTCATTTATTTTATTTTCACCATGTACCTTTTGTATTTTGTATTTTTTGTAGCCCTGATGAAGACCTGCAAGGTGGGTCGAAACGTCGGCGTAATAAATTAATAATACTATTTTTATAATTTAGTATTTATTTGAACGCACCCCCCGATCAACTCCTTCTCATATTATATCACGGTCAACCATCTCTACATCATTGACAATAATGATACTTATTGCAAAACTCAAAGTCCGCTCTTCAAAACTGTTGTGTTTGGTTTAATTGGCGTTAGTTTTGTTTGTGCAACAGTGTAGTGAATAAGTCAAATGATAAATTACATTTTCGGCATATTTTTTTTTTTCAAAAAAGATAAGTGAGCTCTAGAGATCCAATGAAAGATACGTAAGGTAGACAGGGATGATGTCTTAACAGAACGTATTGCTCAAATATGATTTGCCAAGTTTCGTTCCAGAGATACGAGTCTCCCAGATGCACCCCACAATGGTCAGCTCACCTAATTTGATTCAAGAGATATCAAGGCTATAATTGAACAAGACTGGTCATTACAAGTACGAGAAATTGTGGTGACACTGAAAATAGATTTTGGAACCGTTCAAAGGCATTTAAAACAGCTTGGCTATGTGTCCAGCCTTAATGTTTGTGTGCCACACAAACTAACTGAGCCAAACCTGGCTAACCGAATATTAATCTGCAACTCTCTTCTGAACCGGCACGAAAGGGACCCATTTCTCAAACAAATAGTGAAAAAAATTGGATCATCTATGATAATGTAGTGCGCAAGAGATCATGGACAACTGCTGATGAGCCCTCTTATGCCACCCCAAAGGCAAGCCTACATCCGAAAAAGATTTTGTCTTCCAGATGGTGGAATTATTGGGGCGTGCTGTTTTACGAGTTGCTTCCACAAGGAAAAATCATTGAATCAAAGATCTACTGCATGCAGCTAACGAAATTAGCTGCATGCAGTAGATTAAAAAATGCAGTAGAAAATTAAAAAATTAGTTTTATTTTACCATTCAAAAACCAAATAAACTTATGGATCCGCCCAATATACCAATTCACATTTACATATTTTATTGTTGGTTAATACTGTTGTGAATTTCAATAAATAAAAAAACAAAAAACTTTTCTGCTTCTTAGTTTTGTTTGAAGATAATATTGAGGTTATGTTGACTCATTAATTTCTTTTAAAATTTTTGGTATTCAGAAGTAAAAATGCAAAAATAAACAAAAATAGAGAGTAAAACTTAAAGCTAGGAATAAAAGATAACTTCCATTCATGATTAACAAATGTTATCAATTGGAATATACATAGTTTTTTTTTTGGTTGGTCTTAAGCCCAAAAAATTATAAGTTGAGAACTGACTCTATTCAGAAATTCATTTAACAATTCTTCTTAAGAAAAGAATATATTTAAAAAAAAAAGAACAATAAATTGTTATAAATATGTTTGTAATATAAAAGTACATCACCTCCAAACAGAGCAACTAGAGACTAGATTTGTGGTTGAGTTTACAGCTAGGACTCTTGCAGCCAAGAGAGATCTTTCGGAACCCAACAGGCTGTGAGCCACTCCATCAACAACAGCTGAAAAAACATACTTATGTATCTTTATATTTTAGTTTAAGGTGCACTTATGATTCATAATAAAAGGTTTTGGATATATTTATTCTACCATTTTTATTTTTTTTACACTGGTAACGTTACGGCTATGTCGCCATTTTCAAGCCATCTGTAAGACTTAATTAGCAATAAGTTTCATACAAAAACTATATATAACAAAATTTGATAGTGACATTAATCATTTCTTAAACATTATATAAATCATACCCCTAATGAGATTGTGTTAATAAGTTAATTTACAGATTAATTTTGTTAAAAAATGGAATAAGATTATTCTATCAATAATTATTACAAGTATTAATGCAAGGTTAATCAGATAATAGTCCTTAGTAAATTTTAATTTTCTTACTTAAAAAATGATGCTAATTATGTTATATCCAACAAGTTAGATGTCCTGTCCTTAATTGGATTATAGTGTCTATTGGAGTATGTAGTTGGGAGGTTAAATATTGTTTCTTTTATATACTATTACTTAGTAATGATTTAGTAAAACTTAGTAATGATATTTGCATATGCACTATATAACCCATTTGTGTCTGCTTGAAAATTACAAACTGTTCCTAGATTTTTAGTAATGTAGATTGATTGTAATACTTTGCATTTATAGCTATGTATATATTTTAGGATTGCAATTGCTTTTCCGTTGGTTTAATCTGTTTTTAAGTTCTGATTCGTTTGTTCTATGTAACATGTATTTTTCTTATTTTCATTAGTGATATTTTTACAGTACATGCAATTTATTTTGTATGTAATGTCTGTTTTATCATTTTTATTGATTTTGTCTTTATTATTAGTGTATATAATCTGAGTTTGTTGGTATTCTGCTGAACTTTAAATCTGAAAAATCATATTTTTTTAAAGTGTTGTGTATTTTTTCTGCAAGACTATTGATTTGCATTAAACAGAAATACATTTTATAATAGTACAAAATTGCCAGAAAATAATTTTCTATTCAAATTAGAGCACTAAGTGAAAGTTGTGTGTTGCGCACCAGGTTTTTGTCTTCGTATATATAATTCACCAAAAATCTTATTTTATTATTTCCTTCTATTTCAGAAAATTTATGATGTTGTTTTATTCAATTATAAGTCTATTTACCGCTGATATTCCTACTCATCCTGAAACTCTCCTGGCAACATTCGCTGATGACACGGCCATCCTATCTTCTAATTCAGATCCCGAAACAGCATCCTTTAACCTACAAAGTCACCTCTCTCTTATTGAACACTGGTGTAATAAGTGGATTTGGATGAATCTAAATCCAAACACACCACTTTCACCCTTCGGCGCAAGTCGTGTCCACCAGTTTATTTCAACTCCATACCACTTCCCCTCTCCGACACAGTTCGGTACCTTGGCTTCCTTTTAGACAGAAGACTAACATGGAACCCACATACCAGACTTAAAAGACAACAGCTTAACCGACGATATGGCCAACTATATAGACTACTCAATAAAAAATCTCAACTTTCAGTTGAGAACAAACTATTAATCTACAAGACAATCCTGAAACCTATCTGGACCTACAGACTCGAACTGTGGGGGACAGCAAAACTTTCCAACATCAAACGCATTCAATCCTTCTAGTCTAAAGTTCTCCGAACAATAGTCGATGCTCCCTTTTATGTAACCAATAAAACCCTATACAATTATCTTAGTATCCCATTTTTACTTGACCTAATCCCAGACAAATTTTCCAAATTTCACCAGAATCTCACTCATCATCCTAATCCTGTAGCACAGTCTCTATCTATCCAGTCATCCCTACAATCCTTCTCAGAGGTTAAAACGGCAGTGGCCCCGCGACCTTTTGTAAAAGTGTATATATTGGAGTACTGGCACTGGCCAGATTCTTCACTCATGTCCTGAGCGTCTGTTGCTCTAGTGCCCTCAATCAGCCTCCACTGGCTTACTATACCAGTGACATGGCTGGGAGAGAAGCACTGGGACCTTCTGGAGTCCTGCTTTGGCTTCCACAGTTGGGGGACAAAGCTTGATTATGAGTCCCCTGGGCCAATGTAAATATTGTACATAGGTGTGAATGTGTCTTATTTGTTTTGTTATTACTCGGCTGGTCTGTTGTTTTAATTATCTTGTATATTACTTTATCTTTTTATTTATATATTTATATATTTATTATTTATTATTTATAAATATATATATATATATATATATATATATATATATATATATATATATATATATATATATATATATATATATATATATATATATATATATATATGTATATATATATATATATATATATATATATATATATATACTTTTTTTCCCCCTTTCTTATGTACATATTGTGTGAATGAATACTATAGCACTAGTACCAATGCCCTTCAGTGTGGCAGATTGTATTAATACTCAATAAAAGTTTTTAAAAAAAATTATAAGTCATCTGTATAATTAATTAACATGGGCATTTCTTTGTTGTATTCATTTTTTGCTTAGTCTAGTATCCGATTCTTATGGAATAGATAATTTTATAATATAATGTATGTTCTATTCTATAGGTAATTCTTATAAAAATAAAGTTTGAAATAAAATAAAATAAATTAGTGAACTATTGCTAATACATGATATAGCATGATATAATGATCTATTTACTGACAAAATTATTCCGAAAACAGGCATAACTAAAAATCATTGATTTTTGAGAAATAATGTTAAAAGAGTAAGAGTTCTATATACTATGAATATGACACATACTACATTCTAGCACGTGCGGATCTACGGGAGGGGAGGAGAGGGGGGGCTTTCGGGCTGAAGCCCCCCCCAAAATGGTAAAATATAGCCATTTTTATATTTTTTTATCGAAAAAAATATAAAAAAAGTATCTCTTAAAGTATTATTGTTTGTGTAATTACATTTAAAGCGGCTTTAGGAATCACTTAAACACCATTTCATACAGGTAGTTAGTTTCTTTCATCTTTTCCAAAGTAATTACCGTTATTTTTATGAAAAAAAAAAACGCTTTCGGGCTGAAGCCCCTTCCCAAAATTAAATCCTGGATCCGCTAGTGCATTCTAGATTAATAATAATTAATACAAGGGTTTTTTAAAGTCCCCTTAATTGGGCACAATTGATCAGATTTCATGATTGTTATTTATTTCATATTACTACCTCAGTAATAATATTTTTTCAAACAAATTAGGAACTTTTAAAAGCAGCAAAAACAAAATTTGATGAGTCATATAGTTGAAATAGGTTGAAAAAAATTACTATGAAGTTGATGTGGTGCAAATTGGTTTCCATGTGACTGCCTGGTAAGAGCAAGCTCTTGAACAAGTAGTGCTGCCAAGTCTGCCTTCTGGCGCACCGGCTCAAACCTACACATCACAAAAAAAGTTTTATATAAAAAAAAAGAGGTAAGTAGCATGAAGAATGTAATTGTAATAGAAAATATGATAATAAGGGGCATTAAAGAAATTACTGGAAGGAATGGTAAACATTTTGAAATTTTGATGTTTTTTTATAACCACTAAGGAATTTTTTCTATCAATGCTGTAAAATTTCGGTGACTTAGGATGAGAAATATTAACCTCAAACATAGAAATGACACAAGAAGTATTTGATTCCTTACTAGTTGAAACAGACTATGAACAAGCCATCTTGTTCAGTTTCTTTAATTTAGTTAAGGAAAAAACTGTGATAATAATTTATAATTCTCAAGAGTAAATATTATAAAAAAGTTTCAAGAAAACCAAAAAGAACATTTAAATCTGTTATTGGATTGAGTTTTTAAAACCTTTTAGGTCATTTCCAAAATGTTAAAGGTAAAATATTTTAAGATTATGGGATTCTTTGATTTCTGCAGCCTTACTTGGCTGCTTAGTTTATTGATCAGAAGATGATTTTTTTACTAAGTCAAAAGTTTACTCCACCAAATACTCTATAAGATTTTAGGTCACAATTAATATATTGAGTCAATACCGGATCTGAACCCTCTTAAAAAGGTATTCAAAATTTAAATAAAATAGTATACAATCAACTGTAAATAGACTAAGGCTATAAAAAAATAACATTTTATTAAAAAAAAAACCTGTACCACTACAACCCATGAAGAGTCTTGAGTTCAGTATTCTTTAGGAAAAGTACTGTTCCTTAGTCAACAGTTGTGCAAGAAGATGATTTGACTGAGATTACGCTGAGCCACCAGGTTTATTTGATTTAAAGGTACCCACTTTAAAGAGTCTGGGTGTGCCCCAGGAGGGTCCCCTGATCCTATGGTCGCCCCACAACAAATGGAACAGAATAAATAATTTTTCTGTTATGAGCTGGGATTTGAACCTGAGCCTTGAACTTTGAAAGATCAGTGCCCTACCACTGAGCTGTTCCACTCCCCACATTTTATTAAGAAAGTATAATTTTGAAATCAACAAATTAGTGAACTTTTTTTCTTAACTATAGTTACCTATCAGTTTGGAGGGGGACGGAGAGCAGCCTGTAACTTTGAGATACACAGAGCTGGCCCAAGTTGTTGCTGGCCACTTCCTCTATCGTTTCTAGTGCCTTCTCGATCTCCTCTCGGCTAGTCTCCTGATCACAAGTATATTATTAGAAAAATAACTTTAAATAAATGAGTAAGTTTTTTATAGTCAACTAAAAAAAACTAAAATCAAAATTATAACTAGTACATAACTACAAAATTAAAGTTGGGCAATGATTCACCAATTCAAGAATCAACAGCACACATTGAAATCATGTAACTGAATATGAGCCTTATGAAATAAAAACTGCACTATATCTGACTGACAGCATAAATTATAATTACAGACTAAACAAACAAACATTATTATTAATTTTATTTTCCTCCTCACCCTACCTTCAAGGCATAATCAAACAAACATATATGAGACCATGAATCGCCAAACATATGACAAGAAAAATTATCATTAGTCTTATCATCAGACCTTTTAAAAATATCGCTGCCCCCACCATCCCAGGAGTCACAATCAAGAATGTATAACTGCAATAAGTTTGTCCCTTCCTTCATTACAAAAGAATGGAGGCTAAAAAACGGACAAAGAAGAGGATTTCTTATTTTTAGATAAACTGATATTTAATGGTGCAATGGTGGGGTAAGAAGAAATGTCTTCACAACAGAAGATTAGCCAATGGTATATTTTGAAGGGTTTTTGAATTTATGAGAGGGAAAAATGAATTTTCGGAAAAAAGAACAAGGAGAAAACAAGGAACAGATAGCAGCAAGTGTAATTGTATATGATCTACGATTTTTCTAATTGTACCTTAGCTTGCTTTGTTTTTAAGAAAAAGTGAATAGTAAAACATCTTGGTAGAAGGGGAGGGGTTAGGTTTTTGCGCCATCGACCTTGGGGGGGGGCTGGGTACCCTCTGATTATTAGAATAATATTTTTAAATTCCTTTAGATTTTAAACATTAATACATTATTATACTTGAGAAAGTGCCACATTGAATCTTAGATTCTTACCTACAAGTGAGGAAGAAATAAACAAAGATATTGGGTCGTAGAAGTAAAAAAAGTATTATAGAAAATTAGACAATAATAATTTAGTAATATAATAAAAGTAAATTATGCAAATATCATAAATAATATATAAGTAAATTTCGATAGTTAACCACCTGCAGTGAAGTGGTGGTGCGGCGGGGGAGCGCTGCCAGAAGTACAACAGCAAGGAGAAGGTAGCGGCAGGCCTCCATACCCCCTCCACATCCGCCCCTGCAACAATTGCAATTAAATATATATTTTTATTAAGTGTAATATTAATATTGAATAAATATATCTTATACTATAGAATATTTATATAAATAAATTATCATATGTGTTGAGTTATGAGATATTTCAAAAGAAGCCAGAGGCTCAGTTATTCAGGTTAGTTAGGAAGAATTGTTGCAAAGAAGCTAAAATATTGATAGACCACGAATTATTTAAGATGGACAGGCTCATAGGCGCATGATTACATACTCGTAGGCTCATATCGCACATTTCATTCTGGTTGTGGAGGGGGCGATAGATCTCCTCCCCCCTGTAATCTGCTCCATAAAATGGCACAGTGAAGATCTCCAGTTCTACCGAAGAAATTAGATGATGAAAATAGAAGAAAAGGATTTTCATAAAGAATTGAAAGAAGGAATGATTAAGGGTTTTCAAAAATGTAATGCCATTCTTATTAGTGTCCTAATAAATAAAATGTTAAAAAACAAAGGTAAGAGATATAATAAAAAATTAAAATAAATAATATGACAAATCTTATAAAAAATAAGAGGATATAGGATGAAGATACTGGTAAGATTGGCAAAATTTTGTTATTGTTGTTTAAAGTTATGTAAACAATATTATATTGGTTGTATATAAATGTAAATAACGCTAATATTATAATTTCTAATCTGAAGATGGGATATAAAAGTGGGTCCCTAAAAGTCATAATATAATAAAGAAAAATTGTTTTGGGAGAATAAATACTGTTAACGAAAATTCTTTCTTATTTCAAATGATGTTAATAAAGGAATAGAATATATTACATATTTTTATTTTTATCTAAAGAATTGTGACAGTGAGATGAACACACACTAAATTCTCGGATGCTTAAAATTTGCCTTGGGAAATGAATGAAAATAGTTTTATTGTTCTGGGACTAGTGTCCCTTTAGAACAAGTTACAAATACAGAATATATATTAATATTTTGGTTTGTCCATAAAATACAATTTAATATTTACAGGTTGATTAAGAATGCAATAACGTTATAAATAATAAAAAGATAAAAAAGAACAAAGGGAAATGTGATAACTCTTCAGATAAAAATGGAAGGGTGCACATGACTGAATCATAAAATCCTAGGATACGTTGCAACATATAATTATCTTTGAACATAAACTAAAATTTAAATAATAGCGATATAGAGTGGGATGAAATACTTGGGTATCTACTTCTATCCGTTAGGCACTTCTCTTGCTTAACCTTCTAATCGACTTTTCCTATTTTATTAATTGATTTTAATATGCATATTTTATTCATTCATGTAAATTAATTCTTCTAAATTAATATAACAAAATATTGGAGCAGGATGTGGGCGAAACTATATCCTGGCTCTTCCCCTCTTTTTATTGGTGCGGGAAGGCGATCGCCCCTCTCGTACCTCCTCCCTCTCCCGAAATCTGCGCCTATGGACAGGCTTAAAGATAGTGTAAGAACTTCCAAAACTATTCATCTTGGCTGGAAGGGGGCACTTTTTAATAGTCTGAATCTTTTAGAAATGAAGAAAAAACAATCTATGGAATAGACTATTGAAGATCATTCAAAGAAACACGTATGGACTGATGAAGAAAAAATTCTATTTGGAAGAGACAGAGAACTTAATCGAAAACTTTAAAAATTTGTAAAATCAATGATATGAAGTGGTACTTCGGATCTGTCGATTTTATCAAAAAAGTTGCTTTTTCAGTGTGATACGTCTTTTAGCACATGCACAGTCTATTTTGAGAGTTGGTTATTTGGACTTAGAGAATATTGAAACATGTATTTCTATTGAAAACTCGGATTCGAAATTTTTCAAAATCGTAATATATGTAAGTAGGTAAGTGAAAATAAAAATAATACAAAGCATTATTGGAATATAAATATACAAAGCATATTGGAAGCAAAAAAAAAAGTAATGATATAAATATCGAAATTGAGCTACATTTAAATAGAATATTTTAAAATTAAATATTTGTGCATAGGTATATTAAATTAACTTTGAATTTAACATAACAATTGAATTTTTATTAATGATGGCTAGAACGAATCCCGTTAGTAGAACATGAAATTTTAATGATATTTTACGATATTTTTAACTATTTATTAGCAAGAACAACAAGGCCACGTTAAAAGAGTTAAAGGGCGTTGTAAAAGTTTGGCCATCATTAGTTAGTCTCAATAGTTAATAATTGGAGGAGATTGCCCCATTTAGCAATTAATGTATCACCTACCTCGATAATTTATTCTTTCGTGAAGTTCACCCACTCTCCAAAGGTTTGGCCCTTTTAATAAGGCACACATAACGTCATTCAAAATGGAAAAATTCCTATCTCTGGTTCAGTGATTGACAAACTCATTAGTCAAAAAAGCCAAATATCAACATTACAAAAATTGAAATTCGTCTTAAGAGCCAATTTTTTATTTGTTTTGTTTACACAATATATAATAAGGTATTATGGATCCCTTTTCTAGCTTTCAGGAAAGATGGATTTCAATGAACGAGAATTTTATAGAGAAGTGATGGATTCCTATTTCAAAACTTAAAATCTTACTACATCTCCGATAAAAGCCGACGTAAAAATTTGGAGTTTCAACACACAGATATTTTCTAAATTGGTCGGATCAAAATGGAATAAATTAAAAATGTACAGTTTTTGAGATAAATCGCAACTCTTACCAAAAGCCTCTGAGGTTTTATGGCTGCAATGGGAAACTATCACATGTCGAGGTTTTAAAATTAAAATATTGATATTTATGAGATACTTCGACAAACTAAAAATCTACTGGAAACGTCCAATGTTCTGTAATATAGAATGACAATTTTTGATATTTATATATATATAAGAGTCTCTCTATTATATAAAAAAGATTTTAGTGACTTTCTTTTTTTTTTTATTTTAGTAATAGGTGAGTAGGAAGTAACAGGAGCTCAAGCAATGCTGCTCTCCTAAGGCGATTATTTTACATAATGTACAGCTGTTCATTTAATTACATACGTGTTAAGCTCCTGTTACCTCATACTCTCCTAATACAAAATAAAGATTTTAGACTAAAAATTTAGACGGGAAATGATATATATTCATCAGGTAGTAGATAACTACAAACATGTTTCGTTATTGTCGCTAATATGCCGAATGAATTAGAGAGAAGGATAAATCTTTAACTTTTGATATCTGTTTAATAAATGAAGATAAATGGTAATATGAATTTTTTTGTTTATTTTGTGTCAGTGAACACATACCTAAAATAGTGCCCTGCAATTACGAAACACCCTGTATACTTTTACATTTAACTTATCCAATTATTCTTTCGGTGTTTAGTTAGGTTTCCCCATTCTGAAAAATGACAGTAATATCCCTGATATGATACCAATATGATTTCTCTGATAGGTTATCAGGAAAATTAGTTTGATTCAATAGTGTTATTTTTAATGAATATACTTAAAATTGAAAGAAATAGTTTAAAATCGGACCCACAAGATTTTTTATTTCAATAATTGGTGACATTTTATGGATTGTATTTTCTCTACAACTCTTCTATTCTAAGGTGGAAGCCTATCAATATCATTCTTTTGATGTATACATCCTTTGATATATTGTCAGATTAATTTTATTAATTTGGTTTGACTCTGCTATGTTTATGTCAATGAAACTTCTAAATGTTACATTTCACTTCATTGGAATATTTCCCTACCATCTAAATTAGTCCAAGTAAGCATTCTGTAGCGTTTTTCTAAGATCTAAAGTAACATGTTTAGTAAATAGCAATAAGCTAATAGGCAACTGCAAGACTCCTGCGAGACTCTGCCACAAGACCAATACCAAGACTGAGAGCGACTGACCAAGACTCTTCTTGGTCTTTCATTTGGGTAAGACTAATTGTATGTTGGCTCATCGAGTTGAGTGTATGTGAGTCTGTATATTACTACATTTGTAGCCATGATTGATAGTGAGCTCTGTATCTCGAATCTCAGGTTTAATTTTAGGCAAAATAGATAATTCGTTTTTAAATTATATAATGTCAATGAAACGTTAAGTCATAAAATGTAAACCTTAACATTCCTTTCGCTACATTAAATCTTCCAGTTCGTTTTAAACGATTTACTCGACAGGCTGGATTACAATCCAACTGACGCAGCAGCAGACCATTAGTGGAGGGCAAGAATTCCACTATAATGATCTCGTTATCTTATTGTATTATTATTTTTTAATTTATTCATTCTATTTTATTTACTTTAGTTTTTTTGTAGCAAATCCTAAGTAAATAAAAATAATACTATCCATCATATAATATAATATAACACAATATAATATACTATCGTATAACATACCATAAAACAACCTAATAATATAATACAATATAACTCTATAACCACAATACCACACCAAGCAACACAACGGGACATTAGACCTAATTATTACACCAATCTCACTGTATGACCCTACAGGGTACTACTATTACAGGATACTACTACAACGCAAATCCAAATATTCTATAAGCAAACAATATATAAGAGAAAAAATATTGATAAACTACGAGTATAATTATCTATACATTTTGGATAAATGCTCTTAAATTAAAGCTATAAACAGTATAATAATATACACTGGATATCTGCTCTCTAGTTATTGTTTTTATAAATGATGTAAACATGGCAGGGGTCATTGAGTTCAATGTGGGTATTAGTTCTAACCTATAGGCATTATAAATGGGACAGGTTATGAAAAAATGATATAAATCTTCCCTTTCATTCAAATTGTACAACGAGCATAAACTTTCTGTTTTGAGTGTTTTGGTAAGTTTTTTATGACTCAGCTTAAAAAAATTTATGTTTGAAGTTCTTATCTGGGTTATAAGTTATATAAATCTAAATGAGGCTAGAAATGTAAGGACTGCTTGAGTTTCTAAATCTGGATCAAATACTAATCTGTAATTTGGGCAGTAGGTAGAGGATTCCATGTTTCGGATATCTTTATGCCTT